TTCTCCTTTGCCAAGTGGGAACTAAGCAAACTCCAGGTATGTTTTTGATGATGAAAAGTTAAAAAAGTCAATTTTGAATAATAGTTGTCCTTTTAAGACAACTACGGTTATTTTCAAGACCTGTACATTATATGGAGTTATGCTACAAACGACACCAAGGCTTATGTGTTGTCAGAATAATTTTTATTATCCCATATTTGCTAAATACTTGTGTGATATTCTATGCCTATGAGTTAACCATTTATGTACTACAATTCTTTTGATTTATAATGTACCAATCACTTGTATGAAAATGAATAACCTCTGTGTGTTTGACAACTGTGTGCAGTGTCCTGTCGCTCTCTAGTGAACCTCGAGATGATTCCTCACATGAAGCCAACTCCCACTGTCACACATGAAGAGTTATGATGGTGTCTGACCTAAGGCACCTCCTGATTGTTAATCATGTTTTATGTGTTTATACTATGCATAGCTTCATCAGTTTCTTATTATGTCTTGGCTGTTTCCCCTTCCCTTGAGAATTATCATTCTGTAACTAGGGCCTCCTAATGAAATAAAAAGAGGAGAACGGCCTTGAGTCATCAGAACGTGTGGAGACTGTTGGTTTTGATGCCCACTCTCTGCCCGTTCTCCTCGCGAGTAAAACTGAATTAATCTCTTGTCTTTCTTCTTGTTTTTAATGTTTAGATAAACCTAACATGTGTCCAAAATAACACATATTAAAGAGAATATTGAGCGCAACCTACCTTCCATGGGTTTAGTGACGATGCCTGTAACTCCTCCCACAACACCCTGAGGAAAGAAACAAACACAACATGGACATGAGCTTTAGTTTAGCTCACCAAACTAAAACAATGTCCCGGCTGCTTTCTGACCTTGAGGAGTCCCTTTCCCTCCTTTGGCCAAACTCTCCCCGAAGTCTTTGGGCGGTCGGTTCATCTCCTCTCTTCGTTTCTGTTGATATTCTTTGTCCATCGTGATCGCAGCCAGACCCTTCCCCACCGAGCCTGTGATCTTAGACACCATCCCTGCGGCGCCACCTGGGGGCAGGGAGACATGGACAGGCTGAAGAATACTGAAGATCGGCTCAGCATTAACATGATTCCCACCTTATAATACATTTCAGAGATTTCTGTGAATCTTTTAGCTTGGAATGAAAACTTACCAACAGTGTGTCCGAGCAGACTGCGCACTCCAATCACAAAACCTTCAGCAAACTCCTCTGGACCCTGAACTGCTCCTGTAAACACATTAACTTATTTTAACGTGGAGTCTGTTGTCAGGGCATCAGGGATTGGAACAAAACCAAATTTCAGCTGACAGTCAGTGTGCTTATTATTACCTGGAAGGGTTCGTAGAAGAAGGCCTCCACGCCCTCAGACAGACCTCGGATCAGACCAAACGGATTCCCCAAAACGTCCAGACCCAGAACCAGAACGTACATCTGCTTCAGGAACTGCAGCACAAAGACACAAAAGTATAATGTTAGAGGATCCTCAAAACAAAAGAAACAATGCCGATAGCTGCGTCAGGCCCAGAGCTGTGAAAGCAAACAAACTGTAAACAAGTAGGTCTGTTAGTCGTTTCAGAGTGCTGTTTCATAAGGCGCAATATAATATGTCAAATAAGATAAGATAAGATAAGATAATCCTTTATTGTCCCAGGGAGAAATTTGTCTTGGGACAGGGGGTCACACGCTTTATCAAAAAACAACACAACACAAAGCAGCACATAAACAAACATATAGAACAGAATAAATATGTGAACCACGAGTGATGCACAACGGGACCTTTAAATTACAAGCCCTTGCATTCTTGTATTCTATTAATTATTGCACATTCCCTAAGCCTTTTATAATTATTTTTTTAACTGCACTATGTGGTTTAGCAAATTTTCAAATTCACAAGCAATTCTCTCGTCTGTTTTCATACACAAGTCACACCAGATTATAAGGAGCATTAAGCAAAACAAACAGACGACACTTTGAGACGGATCCTTTAGTCCAGACGTCACGATCCATCGGCAGATCGTGGCGTAATTCTCCCGGCGTTGCTCTCTGTTTTGGTGAATGTAGATTATGAATGTGAATGTGGGTTGGATCATTTAAATTATTTTTTTTATTTCCTACGATATACAATATACATTTCTCCCAAACATACATTGAGTAATAATGTGTTTAATGCAGCTTTTGTGCACATTTGTTTACGTTTTACAGAAAGAAAATTTAAAACCACATGGCTCATTTCCATAAACTATAAGCTCTGAAAAAACAGCTCGCTCTTTGTGCGCTGATGCGGTTCAGCTTCTGTCGGACTAAAGGACACGACTCACTTACTCCGCAAGTAAGTGAGCCGTAATTATCTGACAATCCATCAGGCGGTGCGGCTTTGTAGTTTACCAAAGTCATACTAAAAACATTTGGACAGATTTTTGAGCGTAGCGCACCACAATAAATCAGTTTGAGGTCAGTTAACACAACCAGAATTAATACATAAGACGCACCGGATTATAAAACGCACTTTCGATTTTTGAGAAAAGTAAAGGATTTTAAGTGTGTCTTATAGTCCGAAAAATATGGTAGTTATCTCCTCCCTGCAGGCAGATATAAAAGGCAATGTCCACCAACGTCTGACCAGAACTGAAGAAGCAAATTGGATGAGCCGAGAAAAGGAATTTGCCCCCCAAAAAAGTCAACAAATTGAATTTCCTTTGCCGTTAATGTTAATGTAGGGTGACTAGATTTTTAAAATAAAACAGTGACGCCCTCGGTTAGGAATAGCTGGTAATAATAAAACTGTGAAAGTAATTAAGGAAAACTGTACTGTGAGTCAGCACAGTCACATTTTCTTTGTGTTTTGGTCATTTTTAATCAGATTCTCTGTATTTTACCTAAACAAATATCAATATACACCTCTCTTTACTGTTGGCAGGTACAAAATTGGTCAAAAATAGGGACACCTGGAACATTTCTTATATAAAACTGGGACAAATCATTGCAGGGACAGGGGACACAGGGCTCAAAACTGGGACTGTCCCAGGTAAATGTGGACGTCTGGACACCCTATGTTAATGTTAACATTAATGTTGATGCTAAAGCAAAAGTGACACTATGAGACACCCACCTGTTCACTGTAGTGGCTGATGACCTCCCACATGAGTTTGTCTCTGCTGTAAAACTGATACTTCACCTCGAAAAACGCCAGTCTGAAAAACACGTGAGGATTATGGTCACCAACAGAACTTCATGACAGAGTCCAAAGTACCGTTATTAGTCACAAGAGCTGTGTTCCTCTTACTTGAATATGATGTCGTCCACGTCGGTGAGAGTGGCGCCGATACTTTTGAGCAGCAGGTTTAAAGACTGAACTGCAGCCGCCTCCTGAGACGGATCATCTCCACTGGAGCCCAGGGACAGACTCAGGTGCAGCTGTGGAGGATGAGAAAGAGGATTTTAAAACAAACAGTAAAGGATAAATACAAATATTTATATTTGTGGGTGGTATTTTGATTATATTTGTATCTTTATGGTTTAAAATGAAAGTTACAAATGTGACTATGATTCTATGAATTCCTATTGACTGCCAGAGGATCTCTTGAGATTTTTTCACAAAGGCAGGAAGTTCTGCCCGGTAAGGTTTGCAGAACTTCTGGTTAATGGTTTTGTATGGCAAAATGTGTGTGTAAATGTCTGGCATATTCTTCAACAGCTTCATAAATCTGCCCCATCACCAGTGTTGGGAGTAACGTGTTATAAAAGTAACTAATTACTGTAATGCATTGCTTTTTGCTGTAACGCAGTAATGTGGCATTACAGAGAAAAAAAATTTAATATTTTACCCGGTACAAATATCAGTAACGCGTGTTACAATGCATTTTTACCCTGGATTGAAGTGGTGGGTTTCTCGTTTTTCTTCATATAAATTTGGTAAAATCACCGCAATATCAGCAGCGGTGAAACACCGGAGATGCACTCGTGTAGACCGTCAGGTGACCGTGGGCGAAAGGACCGGCGCAGAACTCCACGCTACACGGGGCTAACCGGAGCTGACGCCCAATCACGCCTTGCAGGCTTCTAAGGTCTAGTCCAAGATTAGTCCTGGTTTAGTCCTGGTTCAGTCCCGGTTTAGTCCCGGTTTAGTCCAGGTTTAGTCCTGGTTTAGTCCTGGTTTAGTCCTGGTTCAGTTCGTATTCAGTTCTGGTTCAGTTTTGATTTAGTCCTGGTTTAGTCCTGGTTTAGTCCTGGTTTAGTCCTGGTTCAGTCCTGGTTCAGTCCTGGTTCAGTCCTGGTTCAGTCCTGGTTCAGTCCATATAAGGCACAAAAGTTCAGCATCTTCGCAGTTATTTTGGTGAGAGTAACTTAAAAGTTCTGTAATATTCGTGTAATGTTTTACATTTTAAACACAGTAATATTGTAATGTAACTAATTACTTTGAAATGACAGTAACAAGTCATAAATAACACAATATAGTTTTAAAGTCACTTGCCCAACAGTGGTTATAAGTAATTCATTAATAAGTAACTTGTTAACTCAGACTGATTGTATAATTAAAATGAAATGAATTAATCAATTTCATGATGTAGATATTAGCACAGACAGAGAGATTTGTGCAGTTTGAATGTTACAGATGTTACATGTCGAGCATTCAAACTGCATAAATCTATCTCAATACCATTAAATACATTTTTAATTCTAGAATCAGTCTGAGTTAACACGTTTTGTGTCGTGTCGTTGTTGTTCCTTTAAAGGTTGTATAGAGGATTTTTTTGAAGGAAAGTGAAAATACAGCGACCGTCCTTTTTCAAATGTTGTGCATGTGTGAAACCACCTTCCTCCTCCACAGCTCTACAAGTAGAAACATCTCCTCCCGCCTCTTTATTCTAGAAATCATACTTGTTTACATCCAGTGCGCGTTCAGAATTACTGTTTGAAGTGACCTGTCTAGAAATAATTTAGCGACCGATGTGTCAGTTTTTAGACCCTTCGTCTGCTTCATTCGCACCGTCGCTGGAAGGAATCTCCAAGAATCACCTCAGTTTGTCTTCGCTCCTTTTCTCCTTCTCTTCTTCTTTCAGCGACCTCAAAAACGGACTTTCTTTTGCGGCGAACTGGTCGTGGATTCTCGTCCGCCGTTGCAACAAACTTTGTGCGAACTGCGAGGAAGCGACAGTTTGAAAAAGCCTCTAAGAACCGCTGCATAAACCACGTAATCCCCGCGCGTTGACGAGTCAGTTACACTAGAAACGTAGGGAGTTTGATTGACGACCTAACAGCCAATAGAAAATGAGGCAGCCTCGTTTTCTATTGGCTGATGTTTATCTGGCCTCAACACGTCCACAGTTGATAGATTTTCATCGTTTTTTTTTTTTTTTTTTTGGTCGTCATAATTACAAAGCTGCTGCGTCTCTGTAATGATATTTGAAACTTTCATTGACAATTTGAAACTGAAAAAAAATCCTCCATACAACCTTTAAGTTTTGGTCTTTCTTCTCTTGATAGCTGTGGATAAATTCTTCATGTTTGAATGTTTATCCTTTGTGGGCCTTGCTTACTGAAGATTTGGTGATGGGGCACATTTATGAAGATGGTGGAGAATACATGAAACATTTCCAGACATTTTGCCACAAAAAATCATTAACCAAATGTTCCGCAAACCTACAGCGGGCACTTACGGCCACTGTGAAACATGTCAATGAGGGTTATGGGAGTGAATCTGGTATTAAAGGTTGTATGGGGGATTTTTTTTTTGTTTCAAATTGTCAATGATAGTATTATAAAGGTGCAGTAGCCTTGTAATTATGATGACCAAAAAAAAGAGAATAAAAATTCATCAACTCTGGACGTGGTGGGGCTAAACATTTGCCAATAGATAACGACACTGCCTCGTTATCTGTGAGCTGACAGGCTGTCAATCAAACTCCCTACGTTTCTAGTGTAACTGACTTGCCTGCGCCGCCGGTACGTGGTTTACGTACGACTGTCACGCAGTCCACAGACGCAAGACGCACAGACGCTGTTTACTCCACCAACGCAACAGTTCTTAGCGGCTTTTTTTTAACCTATATCTTCCTCGCAGTTCGCACAAAGTTTGTTGCAATGGCGACAAGAATCCAGGAGCAGTTCGCCGCAAAAGAAAGTCAGTTTTTGAGGTCGCTGAAAGAAGAAGACAAGGGGAAAAGCAGCGAAGCCAAACTAAGGTGATTCTTGTAGATTCATTCCAGCGATGGCGCGACTGAAGCAGACGAAGGGTCTAAAGACTGACGCACTGGTCCACAAATTACTCCTGGACAGGAAACTTCTGCTTATTATGAAAACGTACTTTATTTCCAAGAGCTAGAAAAACGTTTTTCAGGACACCCGCTCCCCCCGCTCCTCACTTCTCCGTCTTGCCTAACCAACACTGTAGTTAGTTGTTTACAAGTCATGTGCAGCACCGGCTGTAAACAAACCTGTTTCTGGCGTAAGGAGGAGGAGGGAGGAGGCGTTTCTACGTAGGAGCTGTAGGGGAGGGGGGGTGGTTTCACGCATGCGCAACATTTGAAAAAGGACAAACAGTCGCTGGATTTCTCGTTCCTTGGAAAATCCTCTATACAACCTTTAATGCTCAAACAAATGGAGTGCTTCAGTGCTTTAAACTGCGCCCTCTGGTGGTCAGAAGGGATAAAACAGCCAAGATGGAGTTGGTAGGACACACGTACCTTTATGGGCGAGATGTGGAAGTGCTCAAAGAAGCTGAGTCCGGTGATGTCGGTGAGAGACGCCTCCATGAGCTCAGGCTGCAGCATCTGAAGGTCCTTCTCTATCAACTTGGACTGGAACAAAAACACAGACAAAGGGACAGTGTTGGGAAGGTGACTTTTAAAATGTAATCCCCTACAGATTACAGATTACATATCCCAAAATGTAGTTTGTAACGTAATCCATTAAAATACTTAAAGTGAGTAATGTAATCTGAATACTTTGGATTACTTGATTTGCTGTAGAGAAGCAAAGACGAGGAGAAATATAAGATGTTTTATCTAAAAGACAGTAAGAAGCCCAGACTTTCCTTAAACAAATTCTAAATATTATTGATAGAAGAAGAGACACATCCACGCAGCATGATTTAGTCTTGGTTTAGTCCTGGTTTAGCCCTGGTTTAGTGGTTTTAGTCTAGCTGGTTTTAGTCCTGGTTTAGTCCTGGTTTAGACCTGGTTTAGTCCTGGTTTTGGTTTAGTCCTGGTTTTAGTCCTGTTTTTAGTTTAGCTGGTTTAGTCCTGGTTTAGTCCTGGTTTAGTCCTGGTTTAGTCCCTGTTTTAGTCCTGGTTTTAGTGTCCTGGGCTGGTTTAGTCTTAGTCCTGGTTTAGTTTCCTGGTTTAGTTTTAGTCCTGGTTTAGTCCTGGTTTAGTCCTGGTTTAGTCCTGGTTTTAGTCCTGGTTTCCTGGTTTTAGTCCTGGTTTTAGTTTAGTCCTGGTTTAGTTAGCCTGGTTTAGCCCTGGTTTAGTCCTGGTTTTAGTCATGTTTTAGTGCTGGTTTAGTTCTGGTTTAGTCCTGGTTTAGTCCTGGTTTAGACCTGGTTTAGACCTGGTTTAGAGTCCTGGTTTTAGTCCTGGTTTTAGTCCTGGTTTTAGACCTGGTTTAGATCTAGTTTAGACCTGGTTTAGTTTCCGACAATGAGTGGAATTACAGAAAAAAAAAAAAAAGAGAGAGAGAGAAATAGCCCAAAATATACAGGAAAATCCCTCTGTGTAATCCATTTACTTCAACAAAGTAACTGTAATCCAATTACCACTCACTGAAACAGTAACTGTAACCGAATACAGTTACTCATAATTTGTACTCTGATTAACTCCGGTACTTGTAATCTGTTACTCCCCAACACTGCAAAGGGATGAGTATTAAAGACGAAGGAACTTAAAGGAAATGATCCGTACAAAAGTAAGTTCCACAGTTCCAAATGTTATAAAAATATGAAAACCAAACTGACTTTCTGTTTGTCGGCCTGAGGGTCTGCAGCCGGAGTGAACAGAGCCAAGATGGCGGAGAGGAAACCCTGGTCCACCTTCACCGCCATCTCCTGAACTAAGGCCATGAAATATCTGCAAGAGAGAGACAAAGAGAGAGACAAAGAGAGAGACAAAGAGAGAGACAAAGAGAGAGACAAACGTGAGGTGCACTTAAAGACACGATGTAATAAAAGAACAGAATAACAACAAAAACAATGAGAGAAATGTTCAGTGTGTTTTAAAAGATGAGTCTGAGAGAGAGACAGAGACAGAGAGAGAGAGACAGAGACAGAGAGAGAGAGAAACAGAGAGAGAGAGAGACAGAGAAAGAGAAGAGAGAAAGAGAACAGAGAAAGAGAGGAGAGAGCAGAGAGGAGACAAGAGAGAGAGAGAGAGAGAGAGACAGAGACAGAGAGAGAAAGAGAGAAGAGAGAAAGAAAGAGAAGAAAGAGAGAGAGACAGAGAGAGAGAGAGAGAGAGAGAGAAGAGAGAGAGAGAGAGAACAGAGAAACAAAGAGAGAGAGAGACACACAGAGAGACAGCCAGAGAGAGAGAGAGAGAGAGAAGAGAAGAGACAGAGAAACAGAGAGAGAGAGACAACAGAGAGAGACAAGAGAGAGAGAAACAGAGAAAGAGAGAAAGAGAGAGTAACAAATGGAGAGAGTGAGACAGAGAGAGAGAGAGAGAGAGAGAGAGAGAAGAGAGAGAGGCAGAGAAGAGAAAGAGAAACAGAGAGAGAGAGAGACAGAGAGAAAGAGAGAGAGAGACAAAGAGAGAGACGAGAGAGAGACAGAGAGAGAAAGATGTACAGAGAGAGAGACAGAGAAAGAGAAACAGAGAGAGAGAGACACACAGAGAGAGACAGAGAGAGAGAAAAAGAGAAAGAGAGAGAAAGAGAAAGAGAGAGAGAGAGAGAGTAACAAACGGAGAGAGAGAGAGAGAGAGAGACAGAGATAGACAGAGAGAGAGAGAAGAGAAGGCAGAGAAAGAAGAGAAACAGAGAGAGAGAGAGAACAGAGAGAAGAGAGAGAGAGAACAGAGAGAGAAAGAGAGAGAACAGAGAGAGAGACAGAGAGAGAGAACAGAGAGAGAGACAGAGAGAGAGAGAGAGAGAGAAGAGAAAGAGAACAGAGAGAGACAGAGAGAGAGAGAGAGAAACAGAGAGAGACACAGAGACAGAAAAGAGAGAGACAGAGACAGAGAAGAGAGAGAGAGAGAGAGAGAAGAAACAGAGAGAGAGAGAGAGAGAGAAGAACAGAGAAGAGACAGAGAGAGAGAGACAGTGGAGAGACAGAGACAGAGACAGAGAGAGAGACAGAGAAAGACAGAGAGAGAGAGAGAGAGAGAGTAACAGAGAGAAAAAGAAATACACAGAGAGAGAGAGAGAAAGAGAGAAAGAGAAACAAAGAAAGAGAGAGACAGAGGGAGGGAGAGAGACAGAGACACACAGAGAAAGAAAGAGAAACAGAGAAAGAGACACACAGAGAGATAGAGAAACAGTGACAAAGAAAGAAGAGAGACAGAGAGAGAGAGAGACAGAGAGAAGAGAAGACAGAGAAAGAGAGAAAAGAGAGAGAGAGAACAGAGAGAGAGAGAGATAGTAACAGATGGAGAGACAGTGACAGACAGAGAGAGAGAAAGAGAAACAGTGAAAGAGTCAGAGAGAGAGAGAGAGACATAATAATCGTAACAGAATAATAACAGAATAATGAATGAGAGAAATGTTCAGTGTTTTAAAAGATGAGTCTGAGAGAGAGAGAGACAGAGAGAGACAGACAGAGAAACAGAGAGAGAGACAGAGAGAGAAAAACAGAGAAAGAGACACAGAAAGACAGAGAGAAAGATAGACTGAGAAATAGTGAGAGAGAGAGAGACAGACAGAGAAATAAAGAGAAACAGAGACAGAGAGAGAGACAGAGAGAGGCAGGGAAAGAAAGAGAAACAGAGAGAGACACACACAAACAGAGAGAGAGAGAAATAAAGAGAGACAGAGAAAGTGACAAAGAGACAGAGTCAAGAGAGCGTAAGAGAGACAGAGAAAGAAAGGGAAACAAAGAGAGAGAGCGATATAGAGAGAGAGAGAGAGAAGAGAGAGACAATAATCTTACAGAATAAGGAATGAGAGAAACGTCCAGTGTGTTTTCAAAGCTGAGTCACAGAGAGAAAAAGAAAGAGATACACAGAGACAGAGAGACAGAAACTGAGAGTGAGACAGAGACAGACACAAGGACACAGAGACAAAATAATAAAAGGATACTAACAAAAAAAAAAAAAAATGAATGAGAGAAAAGTTAAGATTGTTTTCAAAGCCGAGTGTGACTCACTTGAACTGCATGACGCTGCTGTGCTCGTTGAATCTGGTGATTATTGACACGTCGATAAAAGGCTTTGGTTCTGAGGAGAGGAAAAGACAGAGTTAGAGAAGATTTTTTGTGGACTGTATTAATTAAATGTTTTTAAATGGGGTCTGTTTTGATGTTTAACCCAGTTGCACTTTGTAGTGGGGCAAATGTGCTGTGACCTGAGCTTTCATGCAGTAAAAATACTTGGATTTCATATTTGCATGAATGGATCTGTGGAGCTGGCGGTTTGTAACGTTCATCTGACAAGGTAAATTAGATCAGTTTTACATCAGGGTCAGTCCCTATGAAATCAGCTGTTTTCAAGGAACCTTCCCTATGAGCCGTCTCAGATTTAGCTGAAAAAAAATTCAAAAAACTTCTAAAATTACCAAATGAAAGAATCTCAAATTTTAGCTCGATCCCTTGAGTCGTTCCTGAGTTATGGCCCGTTGAAATTTTGGTGCCATGTTCACTTTTTTGGAAGCCTTATTTTATAAGCATGTTTGAGAGAACATAACTTGTGTCTGTTGTCAAATATTGAGTATCTTTATTTTAATGTATTATTAAAATCTCAATTTGGTTGTAGCTGAATTTTTTATTTTATTTTTTTTCCAATTTTTGATGTCCATCTATTTACTCCAAGCAGATATTTACAAACTAACTGTTGAACCTGAATATTTGAGAGAATGTCCACAGTGAGTCTCAAATATGGTCACAGACCAAATGTGACCTTTTAGGCCCCTTCTTTAGACCCTTGGCCCCTTCAAAGGGCCATAACTCAAGAACAACTGAAGGGATTGAGCTGAAATTTTAGATTCTTTCATTCGGTCATTTTAGAAATTTTTTGAATTTTTTTTTCAGCCAAATCTGAGATGGCTCATGGAGGAGGGCGGCTGATTTCATATGGACGGACAGATTATTGACACTGGTGTTGGCTCAGATCAAATCTTTAGTTCTTAAGATATGGATAACTGACAAAAAACAAAAGTCAAATGAACAAATACGCTGGTTTTGGTCCTTCTCCTCAGAGCAGTGACATCAGGTGTGGGAGCCAGACGGCTGAGCTGTGCAATTAATTCACTAATCGAACACAGAGCCGTACTATCCTTGGACTGTCTGTAAAGTCTGTATCAGGCTGTATAAAACCATTTAAACTCTTTTTATCAAGTGTTTTTTTTACCTGAATCTAGAGCGATGGACTTTGGTGGTGGCACAGGGTGGAAGACGATGGGGAAGATGGCTCCAGGCAGCTGGTTGTCCACCTGGAATCAGAGTATAAAATCAGAAAAACCTCCAGCTTTTCAACACAAGCAGGCGGCGAACCGTTCATCAAAAAAGTTATAGTGCAAAGAAATTTAACAACAACTTTTTTCTCCACACATGGTCTGTCAGTCACATGTGTGTGTTTGAAAAGATGAATCCGACCTGTAGCCAGTGCAGTTGAGCTCTGAGGCTGCGCTGGTGCTCTGACTTCTTAAACTCCACCTGGATCCCAGACAGGAAGTTCCTCCTGATCGGACACTTCACGGGCTGATGCATCATCATGTTTGTGCCGCTCAAGTTCACCTGGAGATAGAGAATAATATTATATTAAACACAAAAAAGAGACAGACACAGAACTGCATTTTAAAAGGGCAATTGAACAGACGTGAGACACAAATTGCCACAAGACTTTTTTCTGTTTTTCGAATGGGAAAAAGTGATCTTCCTGTTCCTCCGAGACTTGTGCATGTAGATGTCACTTGTCTGGCTGATTCTGTGTTTTATGAAGACGACTGAGAAGACTTCAAATGCCACCAAAAAGAAAATCCGAATTTGCAGATTTACAAACTGCAAGTCGTGAAATCTGCAGATGAAAACGATAATCGAGCAGCAGAAAGAAAGTTTGGAGAGAGAGAGAAACTTGTGACACCGGGAGGATGAACCATGAAACTTTCCTGAAGTCACTGGATGGATGGACAAAGCCTGGACTTCAGTGACACCGAAACCATCCTGTCGGGATTCAGAAAGACCCGAATAATTCTAACTGGAACTGATGCTGAGTCTGACGACAACGACACAGAAGAGGAAGCGTCGCTCTGTTTACCTCCGGAGGTCGAGGAGTTGCTCAGAAGTGACACCGAGGATGAAGAATTGAATGGATTTAGTGATTTGGAGTGAGATGGAGAGTTTGTT